GATAAAAAGTTGTGCTGATAATTACCCAGTAGCCTATAAATATTTAATTCACGATGATGATATCATCATTAGAAATTGTTCTGACTTATTTTTATAGAATTCTCAACCATAAGAAATCTACAAAAAAGGAGATTTTGCTTGCAGGTAACATCAATCAAACCATGCATGCAAAATGTATTATTTAAACTMTCCTGTTGTTTATATTAACATCAATCAATTCTTTATTTCACTGTGCTTGCTTTTGACAAGTAAATCTTATTAATCATATTATAACTTAGAGTCGCTGTAACTACATTTACATGACAATGTACATGTTACAGTTACAGCATGCAATGGTACAAACAGTGTGAAAAATATAGAAAACATGAAGGAATATATAATAACGATTGCAAGCCATTAAAATGTCATATACCTCGCAAGTGCTATGACTTAGAATCGTAACTAGTACAAAACACTATATTAGCCATGACTAGTGTTCTCGCTTGCTTTCTTGACATGATCAGATAATGCAACTTGATGAATGTCAATCAAAGAGAAAGAATAAKACTAATAAGACGTATACAGTTTAATATTTCCTTAATCGTTAACATTTTTATTCAAGATAAATATTTCGATCTCAAAACTGGTGTCCTTTCGATTAGTGGTTAATATTGGCTTACATAATATAGTATTAAGAGCTTAAACYAGTCAACGATGAAGATTGGTTTTAATTCAAAATTTCCTTGGGGAATGATCTTTAATTAAAGATAAACAAAATGATTTTCAATCAAAAGTAAGTTAATTATTATCAAGAGAAAAGCATTTCCCAGCAATGCACAGGTTTAAAAAAAAATCAAGTTTGCTTTGTAGAATATTGAACATCATTAATAACTTCATAATAGCTCAAACTATACAAGGTTTTTATTTCAATTTCAACATTTTAAATCTTTTAAATCCTAAAAGCGGTCATCATGATTCTTTTGGCTTTTTAACGAGAGCTTTTTAATATATAAATATTACGCATAAGTTTGAAAATGTTCAAAAGAAGGGAAGAAAGGCATCTAAAAAATGTTGCAAKGGAAGTGAGCCACGGAAACATTACGTGTATAGATTCAATCAATCGTGACCAAGGTATCAAAATAAACTGAAAAACATCTCAAAGTATTTCTTCCTTTTTATATAAAACTCCACTTCGAATAAACAAAGAAGCGAGCGAAATGAATATCTAGCGGTCCACACGACAACACAACTAGAAAAAGAAAAAGCAATRAAAAACAAGGAATATTAAATTATAACAAAGGCTATTGAGAGTGCTTTAAATTTACATTTGAATCTATCGACATATATTTGAAATGTTACGATTTAGATTTAGCACGTTCTCAAAGAACTTTTACACTTATTAATAAGAAGCAATTTGAACTTGATGTTGATATTTAACCTTTGATTGTTCACTTTACTAKAGTCTGCGGGAAAGTAGAAACGTTTTTCTTTCAAAATTAAATTAAAAAATCGCGTTTTCTTGCATAATTTGAGTCTATACAAAATCAAAACAATAGGAAACGATKGGATACGAATCAAGAAATTGTCTGCTTTGTTAAGAAAACGTAGTTTACATTAAGTCCAAAAACAAACAAATTTTGATATAAAGCCAATCTTAATTGGCTTTCTCCAGCTTTTCGTAGTATTAATGGTTACTCTAGCACGGATWTATTATTCTTATTTTGAGTTTTAAATGCACGTAATTATAACAGCTCTAAATGCTACACGAGAAAAATTCTATGGAACAATGTTGAGGGGGGTAATTTTTAAAAGTGGTAACTCGATAGTCAGGCTATCAAAATACTTGTAAAATAAATCAAAATAGATAAAGGTAGCAAAACTAATAAAYTTTAAAACCGACGAAAATACGAATTCTATTATTTTCTAATCGAGAATAAATTACTTATGCTAAAGSTTCGACTTTTAATTTATCAATGTTAGAGAGCTAATGAATCTCTTTAGGCATGTCTTCATAGTAGATAACAGACTGTTAAATGGCTTACGAAATTTTGCTACTACGAAATTAAATGGCTTTTTTKCAACACATGAATGCCTTACTCACCTCGTTGAACAATAATTCTCTTCGTTGTTGTTTTTTCAACTCCATCTTTTTCACAGCGACTTGACGTCCTGTCCTTCTGTCTCGTGCAAGACAAACAACACCAGTTGATCCCTCGCCTATTTTCATAAAGTTTTCTAAATTTTCAGGAGTTCCCACCGAAGTAACCACTAATTCTAGAGCTTTTCTAAACTGGTCATGTGTAACGGCAGTATCTGAGAACATCAGACGAGTTTTACTATTTCTAATGTCATCGGAGTTTTCACCAGCAGAATCCGTGCTTGCAGATCCATAATCAGAGCTCTCTCTTTGAGCTGCAGGATGTAGACGGTGTTGTAATGATTCGTCGTAGTATCCGTTTTGTGGATAGCGAGGTTGCCCTTCAAAGTCATCGTGATGGCTTCGTCGAGATCTTTCTCGTCCTGGACGATGATGCCTTCCAGGATAGCGTTCAGGTGATTCTGAAGATTCATCGATTCTCGGATGTGATGGTCTTGAGTGTATTACAGGCCTCGAGGAAGAAGAACCGCGAAACGAGTCCCGTAAAGAATTCGAACGGCTAACTGAAAATACTTTATTAAACTGTGGATTACGTCTTTGAGTGTTTATCATATTCACTTCGGACCTCCTGAGTGGCGATACTTCTGTAATTGCATCTGGATCTACTAAAGGTGGAGGTCTTTTGGGATCTTTCATTCCTAAGACAGCCTCCCATTGCGGAGGAAGACCAACGAATTTTTTCCCAGACCTATCGAATCCAGTGTGAAAACGGTGTTCGAAGTTTGTCGGACTCGAAATTTCTGGACGGGTCGATTTTCTGTTCTTGTGAAAGCGTTTGAACATCGTAGATCCGAGAACGCGTTCAACGCGCTTAACACAAGTTATCCCAACAGTCGTTATAAATCAGTGAAATCCTTCTCTTTACTGATGAATCAAGCGGGTACACTATMAACACAACCTCAGAACGCGCCGTTGTTTTTCTCTCTAGGTCTTGGCGACTGCCCAACGGCTTACCCCAGAGATCGGCTTAAACTCGGTTCTAACCGAACCCTTCCGAAAAGACACGAACTTAGTCGAGTCTAGTCGAGTAAACATTGGCGTTTCCAAGGCAACAAACGAATACTTATTGATTGAGTCACGCYGCTGCTGGTCAGCGGTTTTAAATAGCCTTGTAACCGCGCCATGTCATTTTACGGTGTCTTTTTTACTCCAAGTTAAAAATATTCGACTAAAAAAACATGGATTTAGGATCAGAAATAAGCGTACAAATTAAGGTAAGAAGGTCTATAACGATAATTTATTAGTTATTCGATTCTTAGGATTTATAATTTGGGAAATCGAATCATTTAAAAATCAAGAAATTTGCTTTGTTTTGGATACTCTCAGAGCTGTCCACAGTGCATCGTAAAGAATTATAAAGAACGACGTTGATCGACGTTTATCGTTAACTGCTTAACGTTGATCAATTGTTTATTCAAACTTTTATAATCAGAGTWAGCTTTGTGTAACGTGTATGAATGAATTCTCTTCCAAAGGCAGCAATCAAGGCCAAACTACAAGAATTGGGTTCCTATGTTGGTAARTATTGAACAGGCTTCTGTCAATATCTAAACTAATGATATAAGCTTATATTATCCAAGAGGGTCTCATGAGATCCAGAGGGAGCTCAAGACTAAGAATATCCAAGGGGGTTTCTGAGAAAAGACCCACCCATAGGGGTCATTTGTAGGGGGTATTCAAGGGGGTCTCTGAGCTACATGTAATACCTCAATAGAGGAGGAGTGAATCTTAAATGGAATGACCTGTTTGGATTGGGAAATGGCTTTTATTTTGAAAAGTTACACTGCACAATTTTGTCCTGAAACTTGCTCGGGAAATGAGTTTTGGTTGCTTAAAGTAGAAAGGAGTTCTACTTTTCATGAAGCTTTCTCGCGATGAAAGTTTAGCAAAGCATAAATTGTGCCATGTAACACCCCCCTGAAACTTGTCTTGCAATGCCACTGCACACAGGGTTCAGCTAAAAGTTTCAATGTATAGCAGGGCCTTTAGTTCACAAAAAAAGTTGAGCACACATACTGTAGTTAAAAAATAAGTCAAAGATTGACAATTCCTGTAAGTCCCAAAGCATTTTGGGATTTCTAGGGGGAATGATGATGATGGGGTTAAATCCACTCTTATATCTCTTGATGTATTTCCATAAAACTTAGGGATAAATAGGAATATTCATTGGAATATTCTTGCTGTGAGTGACTATATATTGTATACAAACTTGTGAATAATGTTTATCCAAACTAACTAATTATACTGTTTAATGACGCAGACGATGAGTTACCTGAATAYATAATGGTGATGATGGGAAATAAAAGAAGTAAAAAACAGATGTCTGATGATTTAACATTATTTCTTGGGGATAATACTGTAAAGTTTATTGATTGGTAAGTGAGTTCACTGAATTGTTTTGTTATTATAATGATGATATTGATGGTGGTGGGACATGAAAGCACAACCTCCCCCCTGATATGAGGATGTGGCTAGTTGTGAATTCAAATATACCACATCATATGTTTAGATTCTGATTTGGCTGTACAATATAATGTATTTAAAATTGAGATTACATCGATACTATTTTGAACAGATTACAGAAAAAATTTCTCTAAAAAATTCAACTTCAGACTCCGAGTAATACAGCGTGGAATTCCATTATTCGGAACCTTTTAAAAAAAACRTCATTTTGATTTGTGACTTTGAGTCAGAAACAAGGTATATGACCACACTAAAACTAATTTGAATTCAATTCACCTATTCGGCGACAGCTGTCATGTCGTAAACACTTTGTTGGATTGTGATATGRTCACCAAAAAGTTGGGACATCGTTCTCGGATTCCCATACAAATACACTGARTTTAARGAGAAAATTTAGATAGATTTATTTAGTWAGCTCTCTTAAYAGCAATAAAAAAGCTTTAATCAAGTTAGAAAAATGATATTTTACTTGTATTTAGAGAACTAACTCAACAAACCAAGTAAATAGTTCATTTACAGTCAGCACATTTGTACGGAAATCTGAGAACAATGTCGAACGTAACACAATACAACACAATTTATACCACGTGATGGCTAGYGCAAAAAGGTGGATTCAAGAACAATATTTATTTATTGTGTGAAAGTAAAGCTTATTTTTGTTTGTTATAGGTTATTGAATCTTGTTGATAAATTAAAAGATGTAACAAGTCTGATTGGTAGGCAACAGTATATTGTTTTAAAAATTATTAAATACTCGTAGTGTACTTGCTTCACCACCCCAGATGGATATCTAAACACCTTGTTGTCTCAAACCTTTTCTCCAAGTCACCTGGAGTTGGTAGATACCATGTAATGGAACTCCACTGGAATAGACCCTGGTTATCTTGGTACTGTGTTTTCCCATTTCAGACCACATGTTGTTCTCTTGAGAATAAGATTTTTTGTTTGAGTTGTATCCATATTTATGTGTCTTCTCGTGTGCAACAGTCAAACGAAGAAACAATACCCTTGAGAATGAMACATGGTCTGTAATTCAGAAACATAAAATGAAATAAAATAAATAGARCAATAAACTAATTTTTGTTTATAGCGGATAACACTTGACAGTAATTCAACTTACAAATTTCTGGTCCTCTTTTGACGTCTCTAGTTGATTAGGGATGGGACCTCCTTAACGTGGTGATCCAAGCCACATCTGTGAAGGCCTAACCATTTGCAGATGTAATTACAAAGGCAGCACCTCACTTACTTTAAGTYCCTCAGTGTTGATCCAGCTGGGACTTAAACCATGACCTCCCGCACAGACCAATACTCTTACTAGTTAAACTAACTGGGCAGCAGGACACCAAGACAAATAGAATGTATTATAAAGAGGCAACAATTAAAATATACCTTTTTCTTGTTCTTAGACTCCTTACCCTCTGACAACRCCACAGTGACATCTAATGATACTTTGAATAATGGTAAAGTTGAATCAAAACCCAAAGAATACACTAAACCAACTGAAACCAGAGATAAAAAGAAAAGCTCTAAAACCACAAGTAAAGAATATAGTCAATCCTCTTCTGGGAAAAGTGTCCAAAGCAGAATTGAGAGTAAGTGGATTCAAATAATTTAGAATGGACATTTTTTATGGATAAAAGTAGTCTTGTATGTTTTGAATTGATTTAGCTGTGGAAAATGTAGCKGTAGTCAGCTACTGTATGAAGACACAAATATGGATTCACCTTAATTTCATTCCATTATAATTTGGTAGATAATTGCAATTAATTTGTTATAGAGTMTCAAGCCAGTAATAGTGACAAGCAYGCRCACAGGAAAAGAAGAATCTCTGAGTCAGACGAGGAAGAGGCCCCACTAAAGACRCGAATGCCAAGTGTTGTAAAAGTACAGGAAAAAAGGTAAATAATTTATAGATTCTTGTACAATGTATTCTATATATGTACTGTTTAATAAACGAGCAGGAGTGTTTTATCGGGTATAAAACACGAGGCGTAGCCGAGTGGTTTTAGACCCGATAAAACACGATCTGCGAGTTTATTAAATGGCTTAAAAAACTCCAGACGTATGTTCTCATACTGTACCAAATTCTTTACGAAATGAACCAAGTTTGATAGAGAAAATCCAAGTTAAAGTTTATGCAAATGAANAGTTTATGCAAATGAAGACGAATCTATATCAGATATAAAACCTCCTTCATGGTCATGATTTCTATTGTGTTTCCTTCATGAATTATTAATGAGTTTTTTAAAATATATATATCCATATTCCGTTGTCCATAATAAGGTGCACTTTGTTGAAATTTCTTTGTATATTTCTTAGTCTTTTCATCAAACTGCTTGAATATGTTGAATGCTAAAGAAAGATGACATAATGTCACAGGAAGCAGGATTTTGAGATTTTTATTCATTTATTTTTATTTTATTTTATTTTATTTTTAATGGAATTTTTTGTGCAGAATGTGCTTATTGTCCGGTACTTTAAGCAGAACATGCTTTTGTTGCTGGTTTTTACACTTAACCTGCGTAACTCCGGATTTTCACTGACAGTTGTTGTTTTTCTTTTTCAGACCTTCCCTTCCTCCCTCAAAACAAGCAACAAGCTCATTACTCAAGAGAGCAGTTGCAGAAGCACACATGTCAGTTACTAAAATGAATCCTCCACAAAGTCACATCTACGACCCCACATCTCCCCCTTCACCCATTAAAGTGCACAGTATTGAAGAAAAACAGCAACAAAAAGAGATACTTCTTCAACAACATCGTGAACTTCAGAAAAAATTAAAAGAAAAAGAGCTAGAGGAAACTGTAGAGGATGGACCAAAAATTGATSATCATGAAAATGATGTACCTAATGAGAAAGTAAAAGAAGTAGATACAAAATCTTCCACTCATAACCACAACGTACCCTCCCTCAATGTAGAAGTAGAGAATGAACCTTTAATTGAGTTGCAAGTGTCTGAAGCAGAAGCACTGGAGTACAGTTCAGAGAACATCAAAGGGGATAYGCGAATTGTTGCTTTTGCCGACAGTCAGACAGTGAATGACACAGAAGAAGAAAAACACAAGCGACGGAAAAAACGTGCCGTAAAATCAAGGTTTGTGTTTTCTAAGAAGAAAAATATAAGAGAAGCATGTTTTTCTACTTCATTGCTGAAATGCTATTGTTTTTGCTATTTTCTGATTGGCAGCACTACCCAAAGTTGGAATGTATTKTTTTTGTTTCAATGTTGATYGTTTCTCGCTGTGTAAGTGGCCTTGGTTTCAGTAGTTACAATGTAAGGGGCTAATGTCATGTATCCTGTTAGTACAAGTTGTCCATATTTAAACAATTTATTATTACTTTACATCTGCAGGGATCGTCCTAAAAGTCCCAAGTTCATCGTGACTCTGGATGGTGTAGATAGTGATTTAGAAGAAAAGTATGAGAAGCAAGCATCAAGGAGATCAAGACACAAGAAGCATAAATCAGAGTTTGATGATTATATTGAAGTAGACACATCCAACATGGCCACCACACAATTAGTGGTCCCGGCACCTGAAAAGCCTGAATATGTGCCGCCAGCTGTTGAGAAAGTCATGTTCAGAGTCGATCCCAATAGTGATGGTAAGGATTCTAAATAATGTAGTCTATATTATACATGGGGCTGGTTGTATGAAGAGTGGATAGCGCTATCCAACAGATAAATTCTTATCCAGTGGATAAGATGATGTTATCCAATAAATGTATCCACTRGATAAGATTTATCCTTCGGATATYGCTATCCAACCTTCGTACAACTGGGCCCTGTATCGTATCATGTCTAACCCTGTCTTGCGGTGTCAAATATTGTGTTCATCATACATGTTTATACTTTTATATAATTTTAAAATAATTGTCAACATTTAGAGTTCTGAYATTACACTTAAATATATTATTAATTTTGTTTGTTGACCGCTGATTTTGATTTTTGTTCTGCCACACTCTGCATTTCCATTAAGTTAATTTTCATGATATTATCATGCTCCTAATAATCATCATCATCATCATCCCCCATGATCATCAACACCATTATTACCGTCATTATTATCATGGTCATCTTCATCATCACCATTATTACCATCACATTCACCATGGCCACCATCACCAAATTACCTTCATCGTCATTGCCACCTCCTTTGCCTTCGCCATTATATCTTCATTAATTATTATCATCATCATTATCATGGTCATCATCATCATCACCATTATTACCATCACATTCACCATGGCCACCATCACCAAATTACCTTCATCATCATCACCACCTCCATTGCCTTCGCCATCATCTTCATTGATTATTATCATCATCATTATCATGGTCACATCATCATCATCACCACCTTCATTGCCTTCACCATCACCATCATCTTCATTGATTATTATCATCATCATTATCCATACTTGACTGTCCTCACAATTTCTTTATTTTCTTTTTTAACCAGATGAAGAGATGCAACAGTATCCAATACCCAGTACTAAACCACAGGAAAGATGTAGATTCTGGCCAGATTGTAGTAATGGTGCAAACTGTCCATACTACCACCCAAAAGCTCCTTGCAGGTTAATATCTAAAAACTGTTTTACGTTTAATAATACACCTCTCTGTGTTCCTGTTTTAGACATTTTACTCAGTTTTAACCTCATTTATAACTAATCTATGTCATGCATGACCAGTAATCCTGAGATGTCAAATGTAGATTTCAAATCTCAAATCRACCAACTCAGATATTTCACAAACAATTCTGTAAAAAAGCAGACCTTGAACTTCCTATCAGGAATGATGGTGAAATATTATCCAAAAGAATTCACTTCCCAACCAATCGCTGAGAATTAACTTGCAAATTTGTATTTTTTAAGTTTGAAATAGTAATTTGCATYGACGGAGAGTGTTGTTGACACCTAAAGTTGGAATTTCAGRCRAAGCTGCCAAAAATCCAACAAAACATTAGAGATACTGGTCGCACGTTGACGTAGATTAACKGTAAAGTGTCAGAAGAATGCTTCAACAATACAAACATTTTTGGACCATTTGTAACCATCTAGTATTCAACACAAAATCATAGACCACCTTGTCCAATATGACAGAGAATTTGAAACTGAAGCATTACTTTATTGTTTTACGTGTACTTATAAAATGTTTTATGTTTTCTTTATTTGTCAGTAATATCTTGATTACTTTGTATTTTTCTTGAGCAATTTTAAAATCTTATTTTTTTAGAACTTTTCCAAACTGTAAGTTTGCTGACAAGTGCATGTTTATTCACCCTTCTTGTAAATTTGATGGAAGGTAAGTCTTATCATGCTGTTGTGTCATTAAAAGTCATTGTTGTGTTATGAACTATGTCATACACTGTTCTCATAATGGCTGATGAGCACATGGAGGTGAGGCCACCCAGTCATCTTGCAAGGCAAGGCAGAGCTGTGCAAAGCAGCTCATTGAAAATTAAGACTGTTAGCATGAATTCAGGTCAAAACAAAGGTCATTTCTTATACTTTTCTTCTTTAAAGTCATTTCATTACATGTATATCTTTTATTGTGAACAAATGCATGGGTGACCTCATTTTCGTGCACTTCGATGTCAACCATTATGAGAAAGTTGTACAGCTGACACCACTGGCTATTATGACATTTATAAACTTATAGCTTTCTTATATTATTGTTTGATCTGTGAGTTAGTCCTCCCCTGACTTAGATCAGCCCTGAAGTTGTTTCAGGGTTCAAYCTATGAGTTAGCCATCCCCTGACTTAGATCAGACCAGAAGTGGTTTCAGGGTTTGATCTGTGAGTTTGCCGTCCCCTGACTTTGATCAGCTAATAGGTTATTTCAGGGTAATGATAACCTTAACCAACACATTTTTTAATGCATTTTTTCCCCAGATGTACAAATGTATCATGTCCATACACTCACAAACTTAAGACTAAAGTGAGAACCCCAGTAGCAGCTCCAGCACAAGTTATAGGTAGGAGACTATAACTTTATGTTAGATAGATCATACAATCATTGCCAAAATACTTGGCACGATGGCACATTTTGGCCAACACAGAAAATGGCTTTCCTCTGTCGCGCTCTCCTCCTCCCCCCTGTACAATGTTGCTGTTCCCTGAAAGAAAGTTGGTACCCTTGATGAGACTCGCCAACCCTCTGCCAACTTGCAGGAATCCCAACTTTGTACGGGGGGAGGGGGGTTTAGTCCTAGGTAGTGTTTTGCGAAGTACCCTCTAAAATACTAAAATCTGTCAAGCATGCCAACTAATTATGGCAATGATTGTAGCCATCAGGGCCCAGTTCTACACAAAATGGATAGTGCTATCCAGCAGATAAATCTTATCCAGTGGATAAATGTATTTGATAACAGCATCTACTTATCTACTGGATAAGGTTCAATCTGTTGGATAGCACTATCCACCCTTCTTGCAACTGGGTCCAGAATGAATGGTAGAGTTTCATCAAGTTCACCACTCACTGTCTATTTCACTTTCTGTGTCACTCAAATAAATAACCCGGAGTGAGACAAGAGAGGTTGACTTGAAGCAAATCTAATTGAGTGGCTGCGATATGGGGCTATTTCAAWATAGATTGGTGAAGGTTTTGTTGCTTGTTGCATATACTAAAGCTTGAAATGTATAATAATGACAATGTTTCTCTAAGTCCGGGCCTGAGAGAGCTTGGGCTTCCTGTGGTTTTATATTTCATACATGATATCCGCTGACTTGGCAAGCGGCGCATGGCCGGAATAGTTGGCAATGAGTCCTATTAGCGATTCTTTTGTATCAGTTGTGTTTAGTACTGTGACTTATTAACTTTGTTTTTATAAATTATTTCAGAACCAAAAATTGATGATTCCCTACCAACCCTCTCTCAATTGACACCCTGTAAATTCTTTCCTGGATGTACTCGCACAAACTGTCCTTTCTTACATCCAAAACCAACTGCAGCAAAGGTTTGTAAATTCATATTGTACTCGGGCATAACCTTCAATAAGCTTGACATGATAATTCTTTTTCATTCTAAAAATTTTAGGATATTTCCTATTCTGACCACGGTCCAGTATCCCACGTCGTCCAAACACACACATTGGTCATGAAAATGGAGCTTAGCTCAGCCCATATATTCAAGACCCTGTGCATAGTCTTTCCCTATTCTTCGTTTGCAATAGACGTCATAGCCGCCATGTTGGAGGAATTTGACAAAAGTTTTTTCAATGAATTCTTTTGTTATATCTTCCAACATGGCGGACATCCCTTTTGTTATTGTGCTCTCTTGGGATTGATTGGAAACCAAGAATACGGACCTCCTGGCAAATAAATAACAAATCTGCAGTAAAGCCTAATATAATACATTTATCATGTTAAGTTTACATGCTCTGTTCCTATCTAATCAGAGGCAAATAGGGAGTATTATTATGATATTAATACTTGAAGCTTCCTTACCCCTCTCCTCATCCTACTTAAGGGGCAAAGCCACAGGGCAATRAATATTTTTCCCCAAAGCGAGAGGGGTAAGGGAATCAAGAATAGCATTGCGGTAGTGCACTCACCTCTCACCTCTGGCGCAGGTTTGATTCAGTATCACACGTGAGTAAAGTTTGTTAGGTCTCTCCCTTGATTTGACAGTTACCTTTGCTTTACCTCCCAGYCCTTGCAGCCCAGAGGTCGTTTCATTGATGAGAGATTACAAGTAATTTTTGAGAAACTTAAAAGGGATAAATATGTCTGTTTAAAAACCATTGCCTGTCATCCCTTAGGTGTGTCGGTATGGTGCTGCATGTTCAAGAATCGACTGCAAGTTCAGCCATCCACCAAGTAAAGCCGCTTTAAAATGGGTTTCGCCATCGCTACATCCAAGGTAACCATGACAACTACAGTATTGGATTGAACAATATAACTAGAAAATAAGTAATGACAACTCTTTGATTTATTTTTTGTTTTGTTTTGTTTTAGTGAAAGAGCTTTTGCAGTTCCTGCGGAAAATGTAACAAAATTGCCAGTTGCTTCGTAACATGGGTTTGCCGATTTTAGTGTAATGTATATACATGTGTACGTCAGAGTTTGGAGATATTCTTAAATAGCGGGTTGCCTGTTTCAGTTACTGTTAGTGTGATCCTGGATCGAATATTTTATACTTTTAACCTTAGAACCACAGAAAACTTGGGCTTCCTGTGCAAGGACTTTGGAGGACACTCGGTTCTCTATCTCGTTTTAGATTCGAAAATAATATGTAAGAACACTGTGAAAAACGTTATTCAAAAAAACCCATAATAAAAATATTCAACCGAAATATATGTCATATATCGTGGATGACCGAAATATAAAAAAGGCTTTTTTGGGTTCCGTCAAAAATCGTCTCTTGCCTCTATTGCGCATGCGCTCTGTGCCGCTGAGTTAAAAACGAAGGCTCGCACTTCCGATACTCTCCAAACAAGGCGAATATTAATTAATATTATTAGACTTACGCTTGCGTCTTGAATAGTACTTGTAGATTCTAGTAGTGTACTTCAAAAAGATAATCCAAAATTATTCCGCGCTCAGATTCGAAAATGAGGAATTTTAGGGCAAGACTTTACGCGCGCTATGAAAAACACATACCAAGACTTCGAAATTATGTTAATGAATGAATACTTTGAAAGTTTTTTTCCTTTGTTTGGGAGTAGGATTATGACTTTGAATTATAAATATAGCTCACTTCAGACGATCTTTTCTCCAAGGGTTTAAGAAATTGCCTATTCTATATGGTTTCCTATGGTTTCTTATAAACATTGTCCTAAAATATCTCGTTTTCATGTCTGCGCCTGCGATTTTAAGAAAGCGCTCGCGCATCTCGGAAACCGTCTCTTGATAAGGGTTGACGTCAACAAACGCAAATCGTCATTTTTACAAGCATTTCCATATAAGAATTTTTCATGTTAGTGACAACCATTTTAACAATTTTAACATTTCAACAATAGGTTTTGTCGCTGCTTTGTTCATTTTTTGGTTAGCAATTTAAATAACAATCGACCAAAAAAAGATTTCGTCGTTGTACGCACACCTATACAAACTATGCAATATATATATATATCGAGCAATTGGATTTTCGCGAGTTTTAAACTTTATTTTCTTGCATCCCAGTTTTACTGATTTTAACATGTGCTCTTTCCAACTAGGGTAAATATTTTTGTTTTACTAAATAATACCAAAAAAACTTTGATGCTACAAAACACTGTCACTTCAAGACATGATCATTAGCCTGTATTTACAAGAAACTATTATCGCTTTTATGTTAACTCATCCATAAAAAATACTATCTTTGAATTAATTCAGTTTGACCAGTTAATCTAGCCTCTTCAGTTATAGTGATTTATAATGTATAGTGTATATAGTGATTTTACACTTGGCCCGTGAAACAAAATCGTATAATTAGTGTCAAGGCGTTACTTCTTTGTTCCTACGAAGGAGGGGAGGAGATTTAGCAACATGGAGTTGGGTGGCTAAAGCTGTTAAAGACAAAATGGCGTGCTTAAAAAAATACCAAAATTTTTCCGATTCTGTAAGCTTTATGGCGAACCCGTCCCTGACAAGTCATGGTTGAAGCTACAAGTTTTGGTGGCTGACTGAATCTTGCAAAAAATGAATGAAAATTTAAAAATGTATGTTAATTAGTGATTATAATAGACTAGGCAGTGCTGACGGTAGAGCGCTAATTAAACAAGGAATTTTTTTCTTTCTAAAGAAGGCGGAGCCTTAGGTTAAGTAGGGATTATCTTCTACATTTTGCTATTCCCACACTAACAGACCCTAAATAAAACCAAAGAAAGAAAGACGAATTGGTTTACGACTTATTGGATTGTGAGTTGTGAATTTGAATTTTTCATCGACAAAATTTCCAATAAGTTAAATATAGCAATGATTAGAGGATTTCATAAAAGTATACCTCTTTCGAAAGGCAAGAAAATTACAACTATACAACTTGTTTGTAGATTCTTYGTGCTTTATCAAAATTAATTCAACTTGAAGCGCCAACTAAATACTTCATTTAATGTTTTACCCATCAAATATATGATTAAGTCCACGAAGCACGAGGCCTTGTTCAGATTCAAGCTCAAACTTCATTTGTGGGTTGGCTTGCTATAAAGAGTATTGTTTGGTAATTACCAGTAAAGCCATTAGCACCTCCTTCACTATTGTTACGAGGGCGACAGTCGAGTGTTAAAGACATTTGTTTACGTATGGAATTGTCAGTCGATCTCTCCAGGGAATAGTGAAATTACTGTAATTACAGCCACTTAGAGAATATTAAAACACTTGACCAAGACCTTGTTTAGAAGAACTYGTAACGTCCTTGTATGGAGAGGAACGCGAATTTGCCTTTGAAGAAGGCTGTTAATGCTGCACGGTTTGTGATTCGCAGCAGGACAGGCGCCGCCATATTGAAAACTAGTTACCAACAGAAAAGTGACGTTGTTTTAGAGAAAAGTGCTCACTTATTGAGGGGAATTCAGAAGAAGGAGATGAGGAAACTCGAAAGAGATAGAAGCCGATTTATGAATGATCAGAATGGAAAGCTCAAAGTTTCTGATAAGAAAGCTGAAAGCATTACTCCAAGAAGCAGCAATTTGTCTGACTCCGTTTCAAAGAAAACTGCTAAACGACTTTCAAAAGAAAATGAACGACCAGCTGAGTCTGTGGCAAAACTGAACGAAGATTTGGAAAGAAAGTGCTCAACCGGAGAAGAAAAATCATCAAAGGACCACCAAGAGAACAAGTACAACAGAGATGCTGTTCTCTACCGTAGAGACTTTGTACCTAAATTCTCAAAATCTCCAAAACCAGCCTGGGAAAAACACGAACATGTGGAAAAAGTTGATGAAAATTCGGAAAGTTCAGAAAATATCGAACTAACAAAAAGGAAACTACTTCATCACAATCTTGACTTATTCGGTAGTGACAAACGGCTTGAAATTTGGCTGAACCAAGTCGAAGTGGCAAATGTCGAGAGAAAAATGAATTCAGAGAGGAGAAAGAAGCGAAAACAACGAAATTCGCCTCCAAAAGACGCTGAATTCAGTATGCCAAAGATAGACTCTTATGACAATTCTGAATCAATGAATCGCGAAGAGTTAGTAGATTCGGGAAAAAGTGACCTTAATAACAGCTCTTTGAAGTTACCAAGACTTAATCAAACACTCTCGTCTTCGTCTGTAACGAGTCAGAGACTTGGCGGGAAAACTACTTCAAACAAGTCTATAGATGACCCACGSTTCACTCGCTTGATAAACTCGCTTGCACCTTCAGATAACAGCTTAAAACTCCCTAAGATTTTTCATAAGTCTAGTGATAGAGCTGGTTAAATTATATAATACTTGTTTCACTTATCGAATTAAATATGCACTCGTAAAAAATAATATGTAGAAACTGTAAAATGATACAATAAAAAAGGCCGTTAAATTTACGAGTTGTTTGGATTAGCGCCTCTCTCTCTCTCTAACTCTCACACGACAAGCTACAACCAGCTAACGTAACTTCAGCCTCACAAACTAAACACGAATTCATTCACCACACCTTTTCACAATTGCAAGAACTTTGCAACCTTTCAAAAAATATTTTTTAAGGCAAAAATTTCGATGCTTTATTGGACAAGCCGTTTAAGCAACCATTCTTTTATCACATCTCATTGACATTTTTATTCTTTATTCTTCCTTTTTACATGTGAATAATTGTCTTTTTTACAAATCTTCATTCTACATTATAAATGTATTCATTTTCTTTCAATTTTTAAGGATAACAGTTATCCAAGTATTATTTATAGCAAATAAATTTGTTAGTTTTTGAAGCATTTTCTAGGCATCAATTGTTGATCTTCGGAACAAGATTTAGGCTAAAATATTTTAAGAATGATTTAACATTTGTAAGAATTCACTTATAGTTTTTATACAGATCCCCTACTTTCACAACGATTACAGGGATGGATAACGATATAAGTCGACTGTGTTGTCATGCATTTTATATCAAAAAAACAAAGTGAAACACTAAGATCTCTGAGTGACCCCAAGAAACCCTAACCAGCTTAGTAAATGAAATAGACTCTTTCACGGTTTCCGACGCCATATCGCTTGGGGGGCAAATTTGCTGAAGCGTAGGGGAAAGAGATACGTTTTTCGTTATATTTCCATTCTGAGGTAAATTTTCGAGACCAAACTTTTTCTGTAGATGGAGAATCCTCTGTTCAATATTTTGTGTGCTGTTTTTGAGCCGATGGAGCTAGCATAACACTGGTTCCTATCAGAGAGTCGGAGGCTTTGGGGTTTGCGAGTTTTGCGACTCGATCATACTGGTTCAATTTGACCGTAAACAAATCTTGCGTCGACAAGAATGACTCGATCGGCTCAAAAACGTCATAAAACATTGAACAGAGGATTCTCCATCTACGCTTCTTAGTAAATTTGCCCCCCAAGCAATATGGCGTCGGAGACCGTGAAAGGGTCTATTACTTCTTTAAAACAGAAAAAGAGCTCGAGCAGGACAGCTTTGTTAACGTAATTTCGACATTTAAGTGTATAAATCCCAGGGGACTACGTTGACGCTCAATATGACTACAGCAATGTCCTTAACATAATCTAACATAATACAGTSCCGGAGAGTCTTTAAGATCAAGATTTTTTACAAAAGGAGGGAATATGTACTGAATATATCATTGTCAATGGTACCTGGTATTTATGCCAAGGGTTCTCAGTAGACCCTCACAATACGTGCCAATTTCCTTGTATTAGTATTTATTTTATTTTATTTTATTTTTGTGGTTTAGGGTAACTTCACCAGGGTTTATTTTTCCGGACGAGGTAGCGGTGGAACCAATTTTAAACGAAATCCTTCGTGCTCGAAGATGCTGTTTGAGTAGGATGAACTGGAGCCGTAACTTAAACTAAGAATGCTGTCATCTCTGGTACGAGACAGCTCCGATAAGATGGCCAACTGAAAACAAGAATAATTCAAGGAGAATAAACTACCTGAGTGACTGCGCGTAATCTGGCTTTAATGCTGCTGAAAATTGATGGTTAAACATTTTATAAATTTTATCGACACGTTGAGAGATGGGGACAGCAAAAACATGGGTTTCAACACAGGCAGCCCAAGCGCACCATGTCTAATATATCTATTTCACGGGTTTTTTAACATGACTTCACTCAAGAGAATATTAAGTATAATACTTCATATTCTCTTGCTTCACTCTATTTCAGCTGAGACAAAAAGGGGTTATTCTTTTGTTTTAAGAATCATACAAGTAAAGCTATAGGGTCGGTACAAGGCTTATCGTTTCATTCGCATCTCATTTGCATGCATCCATAATATCCGCGTTTTCACTCACGTGAGAAGGCAGTCATCTAATATTGGTGTACCAAACAATAGAAACTTTCTGCACAGTTTTTGCACAAAAATAGTGTTCCATTTTCCCAAGGATAGAAAATGTATCGTTTTGGCACACCAACATTGCCGCTGTGACGTCACGTAAAAACGCTCTACTGTATTACATTCAACTGTAGTAAAAAACGAGCATGGGCTCCCTATGGAATTAACAGATTTTTCAAAATAGAAATAGTAGTTTTAATTTCGGAATAGACCTCTTTAGCTTAAGCGTAATGTTTAACCATTTCGGACATCATATGATTCCCTAGAGTATTATTTCTTTGTTTAACGATTGCACATGAAGAGACACACAAATAGATACAACTCAAACAAAAAATCCTATTCTYGAGTGAATGACGTGTTTTGAAATGAGAATATATTACGCCCAAACTAAAGAGGTCTATTGATCACGTGATCTGTTGCTGTAGTCGCGCGCCTCCTTAAAAAGAGAAACCAATAATTGGCATGGTATGACTCTTACCCTTGAAGGTCCTTGGTTCTGTTTTCGCAGCCTACTGATCAACTCCAACTGTTGTCGTACCATATCTGGTTGACTTTTCTCCACCTAAAAAAAATTGAATAAGAAGGCAACTTGAAAATCGTGTAAAAAGTTTTTCTATTCCTTCGTGGGGAAGTGTAGCCTCCTTTGCAGCCGTTCTTAGGGTCGTCACGGGAAACGTTGCGTGACGACCCTAAGAACGGCTGCGAAGGAGGCTAGGGGAAGTGAAAAAGGAAAAAAATTGTTATGAATGACATCAGTTATAGTCGACTCTCTTTGAACGTCCATTCTAGTAAGCGACCACTTACTCCTCACCCCAAGATGGTCGCTTACGAGAGAATCAACTGTAATACCATTGCAATACCGCCTGAAAGCTTATTGTTTTTCAGTGCTTTTGGACTGGGGGCTTATTAGAAGGAGGGCTTATCGGAAGAGGAGGTGGGCTTATTAGAGGCTGGGATCTTATTTAACTTTTGGTGCTTCAGACTGGGGGCTTATTAAAAGGGGGCGTATTAAAGGCTGGGGACTTATAGAGGAAATATGGTACTCCTTCCCATGGTCTTTAATGACCAACTCATAGACACAAGAGACTATATATTCTTACTCTGCTTGTATTTCCTTTAGTTGCGCGTTCTTCTGTGGTGGTCGTCTTCTTTGCTGGTCTCTTCCCTTTCYTGGACGGCACTCTTGACATCTTTCCTTTATGACATAGAACACAGATCATCTTGTCTGTGGTGTCGGACGAGTGGTAACCTTCTAAACACTCCTGGTGATACGTGTGATGGCACCTGATGTACACGGGAAGAACAAAGGATGAAAGCAAGTTGGAACGGCGGGGGAAAAACAAAAGACAATCCGGCAAGGCAAGTCCAAAAATTAAAGCAAAAAGGAATTCCACAGGAAACCAAAATGTCTAATAAAAAAGGATAGTAAGGTAAATAGTGCCTATAGCTCTGGTGCCATYTAACAAAAAATTTCTTATTAGCATCCATTGTTAACGGCACCACAATGGCCGCCATGTTTTGTGTCTTTTGACTTTCTTGGGAATGCTTGCAACTCATTAATAAGCCCATTGTATATACGAACCTAAATATAACGGCATCCTTTGGTACAACATCAGTGGAGTACTGCCGTCCACACACACCACATCTCATAGCGTCAGGCGCGATGCCCTTATTGAGGTAACTCTTTAGATGACTGAGTGATGTGTAAAGGTCCTTCTCTAAAAGTCTGTTGGTCGTCTTTAGAAGAGTCTGGTCAAACATACCAAAAATACATTAAGACTAACTCACAGATTGTATTGGAAATCCATCCCAAACAAACACACCAACAGGAACGGCTGACAATACAATACAATACATTGCATCTTTATTCACATTTCCTTTTATGTTAGATGACATTAATTTATATATTTAGATCATTGAAAAGAAAGAAAATACTTATTTGGTCAAATAAATAAAGCTATGTATAAGTTGTAATGAAAGGAAATGCCTAGAGCCTAAATAAACCATATAGTTTCCATATAGCATATTACATCATATAGTTATAGGCTGAGTTAAGCCTGGTTCACATTAAAGTCGGGATCGGAATCGGAATCGAAACAAAAACACGCAGACTGAGTAGTATAATAGTAATTAAGTCTATTTTTACTCCTACATGAACCCGAGTCTGATTTCGATTCCGATGCTCGTATAGAGCTTTTTCACGTGACGTCACAGCAGCCATGTTGGTGTACCAAAACAATACATTTTCTATCCTCGGGGAATTGAACTCTATTTTTGTGCAAAAATTGTCGCGTGAGTGAAAACACTCTATTACTAAGGAAAGACTTACCGATTCATAGCTGTAAGTATCCAACATCCCCAGGATAAGTTCTTTGATTTCGCCAAACTTGCCGCCGCTGTACGTTGGATCCTACGGAACAAGATAACATAAATAGAATGTGAATGGGAAAAAAAGGGAATTTAACAACGGTTCAAGCTAAATAGGTCTTTTGTATTAGCCATTCCGAGGTTGAGGGAAAACTGGGTCTAGTTGGCATTGCAGTGCATTTTGGGGCTATTTTAGAGGACGAAAGAGACGCCATCTTGGAAATATGTCTTCTAAAACAGCCCTACAATGCACTACAATGCCAACTAGACCCAGTTTTTCCCTCAACCTCGGAATGGTTCATAACATTAAAAAGTTGCGTCGAGCAATTCTACAGTATAGCCTGAGTACGAAAAAGGGGACTGTGTTAGACTGATTTGAATATATGTAGACCAAATGCAAAACTCGCACCGATGTGAGGGTTAAGTTGTGAACAAAGGGATCTGGCGTGATTCAAAGCAATCTGGCGTGATTCAAAAGTCACGAATCATGCAAGATCCCTTTGTTCACAACTTAAGCCTCACATCGGTGCAAGTTTTACATTTGGTCTATTGCCGTAACGTTGAGGATGAAAGGCTGGATGATCGCGGAAGAAAATGCAATTAACACAGGGAGCCCAAGTTGTGTAATACATATTAGAGAGTTTCTGGAAAATTTCGATAGTTTTTGTCTACCAATATTTTACAAAATGGTAGATGAAAAAAGTTTTCGAGATTCCAAAAATTTGAATTCTAAYGATGTGTCTTATACTGACACAAATACCGATCTTGGGCTCCCTGTGCTTTCAACAGGGACGATGTCAAGATTATTCTCACCTGCATGATCTTCTGTAGTATGGCGGGTAAAGAGATGTATCCCATCATGCTGTTCATGACGTGTCGAGTCAATTCTTTAAATGCTGGAAGGCCAAGAATATAAATATATGCGCACGCATCAATAAAGGTTGATCATCAATATGTATACACACTGATACTCTTTCACTGGCCTGCGAACAACTGAATTTTCCAGGGGGTTGGGGTAGGGGGTGTAAAGGTGGAAGGGGAAAGGGAGAGGGAGAGGGAGAGGGAGAGGGAGAGGGAGAGGGAGGAAGGCTTTAGATATCCTCTCCCCTAAATCATTATCTTCCTTCCTCATCCATTTCCTGACTAGCCGCACCCCACCCCTGTGGAGTCTGTGTTTGCCAGTTTTTCATTATTTTCACTAGTACCTTGGAAGTATTCAGTACTTGTATCGTGACATTTTCGTTGCGGCGCCATGACGGACTCCAGTAAGGGAAACCATAATGCCTGTCGAGAATCACAAACACCAATAATGAATACGAGGAGACATACACAAAGCTAAATCACGCAAAATATCTCAGATCGTAAAACAGATTTGAGAAATAAAACTGCTAAACCAGAGATTAAAAAAAGCTATTGGTCATCCAGTTAATTGACAAGGCACGGCGCCGTCACGATTTATCACATTAATACAAATCCTACGACTCTATCTGTACATAAACCTACTAATGGTCTATCACAAATTATGCGCTCTGATTGGTTGAGGTACAAGTGGTCTATTAGTGATAATAACCAATGAAAAACGTTAACGGGAGGAAGCCTTAAATCTCGGAAAAACAAAAAGAATATCTTTGTTTGGTTTTGACCCCAGACAGGGAATTAGTGCAAGGGAAACAGACAAAAGTATTGGAATAAATAAAAAATAAATCCATCTCTATTCAGGAATGCCTACGTCACAGGAGTGTTTTACAGGGTCCTGCAAAGCTTTAAATAAATTAAATAATTCAATGAATGAATGATCATACCTCGCGGTCAACTTCATCAAACCGTGCCGAGTTTCTCTGACACAACTGAGTGATGACCAACATAACAGCCCAGATGTCACTGAAACTCTTGCGTAACTCTGAAGAAAATCATTAGATAAAAGAAAAAGAGAATATTTACATAATATTCTTTCGACACAAGCTAGGAGATCCTGAGGATCGCTCCGAAGGCCGCACACTCACCAAATGAGCTACGCATATTTCCAATCTGCTCCTTTCTTTGGAAGTGACCCTTATCCCCTCCCCCTCCCCCTAAAGTAGTGCCTTTGTTGGGTATTTATAATCAGGGTGAAGAATCCGAAAGATTTAAAGTTGTGCATAAAATGACACTTTTTAAAATGTCTTTTTTAGGGGGGATGGAGTTCGGACAATAAAATCCGTAAAAGAATTAGCGAAATAGCAAACGGAGGATTTGCAACATAATTGGTAGCCAGGGACATCTAAACTGAGCAGTTCATCTCATAGACACGAGTACAATCACACACTAGTCCAACTTACCATCATACTGATGGCCTTTCTCGAATCCAACTACGACAACCTTGACTTTTTCATTCAATGTCTACAATAAATGACCACAGAAGTTTAATGTTGTCAGGGGCGGATCCCAAGTTCGCAGAAAGATGGGGGGAGGGGGTGGGGCGTTAGATGGAGGCATGCTTAAAATATGGTTTCCAGAAATGCTATATTCTAAAATTGACCGTTGCCTTATAGCGCTACGAAGTAGAACTGTAAAGGGGTGATAACGAAGGGGGGGGGGGGGAGGAAAAACATTTGCTCCTCAACTGTAAACCGTTGGATCCCATTTAAAACTAAGTAACTAATGTTATATAGAAAATATTACCTCCAAAAGAAGCTGGAAAGCACCATGTACATCGCCTGCTTTTTCTAGTAAATAGGCTGWGGCATAGGTGAAGCTATACCCACGAACAATCTGAAGGAATAAAGAAATACCGGAGTCTAACGTTATAGCTTTTCTCTTTCAAATTCATAACTCATGTAAAAACTGTGTTTCATAGACCATATGTGTTTTTTTTATTAACATCAGGTAAGAGTAGTAACAGTTAATATAAATAATAATTAAACTTGTGCATTACGTTTCTTCAAGCAATTTTTTCTGGGAAACAATTTCCCAGCTCCAAGTCGGATTTCAACCCTTTAATTAATATCCAAGCACAAAAAGTACCTTAATAAATAACGTTTCTCCGTTTTATAAGAATTAATTGTATAAATTCTTTGATTGCACATTACGTCATCGCGACCTCTCGGGGGAGCGTTGGTGCCATTTAACAAAAGATTTCTTATTAGCATCCATTGTTAACGGCAAAATGGCGACCATGCTCTCTTGGGATTGCTTGCAACYCATCAATTGTAGAGAATTAGAATGTATTGTTGTAATAAGAGTGTGTGAAAGACAGAGAGTACACACTTACAGACAGCGTTTCTTCAATGCGGTAGTTATCACTTGCGCGTAGGTAGCTGAAGACTGCTTGGTCTGGTTCAAACTGACACATCAGCTCGATGTACTTCTCGTGCACTTCAACGTCTGGTGTCTGTTCAAGTCGAGAAACTGGCGACCTGATGGAAATGGGAATTGAAATAAAAAATGGGAGAATGGATTGGAAGAGGAGGGAAAAGAAGAAAGGAGAGGAGTGAAGCGCAAAGAAAAGGAAAATAAATAACAATAATAACAACTCAGACCAGACCGATAATTTTCAGGTGGCCAAGAAAATGGATAGAAATAGTAGAAATAGAAATAGGATGGATAGAAAAGGAAAGGGCAGTGTAGTACAGGGCAGGGCAGAGTAGGTTGGGGTAGGCCGCAGAACATACAGAACTGGGCAGGGCAGAGTAGGTTTGGGTAGGCCACAGGGCATACAGAACAGGGTAGGGTAGAGTAGGTTGGGGTAGGTCACAGGGCATACGGGACAGGGCAAGTCAGAGTAAGTTGGGGTAGGTCACAGGGCATACAGAACAGGGCAGGGCAGGGAAAATAGGATGGTGTAGGCCACAGGATATGCAGGCCAAGGTTGTTCAGGAATTAAAAATGAAAAGCTCATTTTGGTTAGAAATTTAAGTATGTTACCTGCTGTCGAATACTCCTTTTAAGAACTCATACTGAACCTTGTGCTGTGCCTACAATACGGTGGGAAACCAAACTAAATAAACTATATTATATTTCACAGYATCAGGATATCAGAAGCATGTTAGAAAATGTAGATAAGAAAATTGCAGCCAAGCTTAAGGAAAGACAACGATCCTTTAAAAATATTAATGCCTATTGCCAAAATTAGTTCATATTGATTTAAGAAGGTCCAGTACTACAATGCCTGCGGTTAACACTGAATGTTTTAAAAATAACCATCTATAGATGAGGCGTCAATATGTTACACTAGTCTTACCTCAAGGCTGCAGACAACGCTTGTAAGAGTATCAGGAAAGTGTGTAAGAACAAGGTTTGCCATTTGCCAGCAGCTGATAGACACAAGCTCCTTGAAAATAAAATGGTATGATAATATGGCATGTTCAAGACATTGAAACTCTAGCGCGATTACCAAAAATATCTAAAATAAAATGTTAAAAATGTCAAAATTGCAATAAACCTCAAATGGATCATAGTAAAATGCTGTAGATTCGATTATAATATTGTTGAGTAGTGAACTGACTAGTATTTCTACCAATATTTTCTTATTACTGCTGAAAGGTATGATCGTTGTATATAATATGGTACATTACATTGATCTCATTCCTACCAATGCAGGTATTAAATAATCCACATGTTTGCACCATACATGAGGTACCATAAGACTAAAGCCTCCAGGGTTGGATCTAGAAGAGGGATGCAGGGGGAGCGCACCCTCCTCACTAGATGAGCTGATATCTACTGCATTATTGGTGTTTGAGTTTGTAAGCAAAGGGTCCGAAAATGAAAATCCTGGAAGGTGCCCCCCTCCCCCCTAGAAAAACCCTGGATCTGCCCCTGGCAGATCGAAGTATGGCCTATTGCTTTGTTTGGTAGTCGATATAAGGTGTTATAAGGTACCCAGACATGTTGACTATTGTACGAATGTAGCCCACTATTACCAGAAGAAAGATACCTCGACAGGGAGAGAGGAACAAATGATAACGTTTAAATTTGCAGAAAATGAAACAATAGATTTGCCTTTTAGAAAAAGCTGTTGCCCCAAAATTCTCCTTATTTTAAGTGTCTAGTCGTTCTAGTGCCTTAGCAATAATTGGGGACACTTTTCACTCACACGTACTACTACTAAATTTTCTATGCACACAACGCTAAACTCACATGATGACGCCTGTTGCGCAGGCATTTTTTTGAAGACTGTTGGCCAGCTGAATCATCCCCCTCCCCTCCCCCCCAAAGAAAACTGAAACAAGACAGCAAAATGTACTTCCAGACTTACCTGAAGGCTATTGAGAGCTGCTTCTTTGACTTCTTCTCTTTCGATGTCCGCATAAATATCGTCAGTCATGACGCTTTTGATGTATCTAAAGGCCTGGTCCTAAAAGCAACAAAAACACCTTTATGAGACAGACCTGTCGAACTAAAGGCGCGATTACACGGAGCAATTTTCTCTGCAACTTGTCTCGCAACAGCGTTGAGACACAATTTGCAAGAGTGTTTACACGGTGCAACGGAGACGCAATCGTTGCGCAATCGAATCGACGCAAAAGTAGAAGCGAATTCTCCTTTTTTCAACGATTGCTGCAACTTGTTTAGCAACATTTTTTTACAAATTGCGTAGTACGCTGCAATGCTCCATCGAGACACGTTGCAAAGAAAATTGCCTTGTGTAATCGCGTCTTAACCCATGTCAGTTTGCATTACAAAACTGGAAATTCTATGAAACGACCGGTCGTTCCATTGTTTTCATTTGACGTTATCAGACAACAAACTTTCCTTGAGCCACAATGGAATGTAAAGGTCAGTTTGGTTACATRTGATCGACCGGTCGGTTCAGACCTTATATTCACCATTTCCATACATTGGTTCACTAATCACATAAAAAGCATTAAATTGAGGCTTCAAGGTGGTTTAAATTGAACCTCGTAGCCTGGATAGAATGCTACGTGTTTGAACAGTGAACCAGGGAGGTGTGAACATGGGTGAACCGATGGATGGAAGTGATAAATCGGTTTACCTTTCTCGAAGAATCTCTGAAGTAACACGATAAAACCTTAGCGAACTGTCTCTTCCTTTCGTACAACATTTCGCAAACACGATAACTGAAGGAAAGAAGCAACACTTTTGGTGAATCATCTAGTTATAAAAAATTATTTTAGGTTGTGATACAAGTACTCTATAGAGTTTCCCTAGCCATGGTATTTTATTCTTGGGGTGCATGTCAAATAATAGCCGCCATGTTGGTTGACGATAACAAAGCATTCCTCCTTTGCTTCTCTTCTTAGATCATCCAACATGGCGGCTGTTTCATTGCTATTTATATCTCGAGGGATTTTGAGCCATGTGGTAACACTACAAGAATTACCATACTTATAACTAAACGACCCACTCCACRCTAGAACGTTTTCCAACAACCGGGATTAAAAATTCTAATGAGTTTGCTAATATGCTAATGATCTACCTACCGTACTGCCAGCTAAATTATACCGAAATAATCTGCGTGAAGAAGTTTTAACCTTAAAATGCTAGTCTTATTGCACTTTCTGTGAACTTGTCTTAATTTCCAGGAATGTAAACGAACTCAGCGTTAAAACGCTTTCCATTCTAAAACAAAACTATTAACGCTATATTTTGGTTTTAAGAGAAGTAAACTTGCTGTTGCTGGTGCTGGCCTTTCTCCGGCTTTTCAGAAGTTTCATATATGTAATACATATGAAACTTCTGAGAAGCCGGAGATAGGCCAGCACCAGCGAGTTTACTTCTCTAAAAACTCACTAAAATTGTTACAAGATTTTTATAGAAGTTTTATTCAACAGCAACGTTTGTAAATTACAAATCTTTTAGTAGAAGTGACGATATACCAGCTCGCTATAACAGTCGAGACTGAAGATTTGATTCCATTTTTTAATAGCTTAGTTATTCTTATCTAGATATTTTTCYACCTTGCTTAAAACGGCATGTACTTTACTCATCGTTTCCAAAGCCTTTTCGCACATTTTCTTATGTGGAGCTTGGGTTTCTGCTGCATTATCAACCTTCCTCTTTTTAGATACCTTGTTCGTACCGGCAATGCAGTCATCTTTTTCATCAAACTCGCTCTCGCATGATGATGACGCAACATACTCTCCCTCTTATTTGTCCTTCACTGCTTGTCTTCTCTGGGAAGGTGTTTTCTTCTCTGCATACTTCATGGAGTCTATTGGTTCAGTCGGGGAAGCCAACATTTTCTTTAAAATGTTCTTCATTCTGGTTATCAGTCGACTTGCCAGTGGGCTCTCCAGATAGAGTGCCACAACATGATGAGGGAGTTGTGCCTCTAGGATTCTTTCTTTGCAGTACTGTAGGATCGGCAGGCCACTCTTTGCTATTACATTCGTTGTAGCATTTAGAAATAAATTCAATTTCCTTTTCACCAACATTAGCACGCTTTGGTAGTGATCCTATCACAATTAAAATTAAAAACCATAAGTTGAAAACGATAATAAAATCAATTTGTCGCAAAAGTCCAGAAATGGGCTTTTTAAAAATGGTTCACTTACCTAACCCACGCGAATTTCCCGGTATTGGAGAATCTTTTTGYGACATCTTGACAAAACGTTTATCAGAAATAATCAAGTAACCTAGCTAAACTCAATTGTCACTCGATGGGCACTGAATGCTCAGAAAATTCCGAAGTGCAAAACTCTAAACTGCCTGGACTAATTACAATAACGGTGTTAGTTGCACGCTTCGATTTTAATTATTCAAAAAATAGAAGTTTGACTGGTAGTTACTGTGAACTTGAGATGCAGATTTAGGATATACGTGTCCTGCTTTTGCAAATACTAGCAATTTTGATACTTCTGTCTGCTTTCCAGCCTCCGTTAGGCATACAAAACGTGCCGTTAAATAGACGTCTTCTTACAGGCTTCCGTGGCAGTGGATTTGATGGCAGGGATGTGTTCTCTCTAATTCAAAGACAGCCATGGTTCTTTTGGAGAAATACAGGTGAAACCCCACAGTCATTTCTGCAGCTAGTAGCAGATGTTTCTCCAGCTCTATTCCGTTTTACAAGGGATGGATTACCACGTCAACGACTAGGACGCTCACAACTCAACATCACGAATCGAGTTCTATTAGCTTTAATGTGGCTACGCAAATATCTGCATGTGGAAAGTCTAGCTCTGTGGTTCGATACAGACCCATCAACTGTTGTGCGAATTATATACAGAGTCATACCAGAGATGTGGAGGTATTTCCAAAATCAAATTCGCTGGTTAAATGTAAATGAATGGGCCAACATCAGGGGAAATTGGCCAGAATTCCCAAACGCAGTGGGCGCTATAGACGCAACCCCGCATGAGATATACCAACCCATAACAGAGCCCCAGAGATCGTTCTATAGTGGGCACCGTCACTACCACTGTTTCAACACCCAACTTATCATTGATAACCTTGGACACTTGAGATATGTTCAAGCCGGGTTTCTTGGTAGTATACACGATGCGACATCTTACAGGCTGATGACCCACATTGGACCAGGACAACCTCTGGAACTACCACAAGGTGCAAAACTTCTAGCGGACAAGGCTTATCCTGATGGYGGACCATTGCTGACGGCCGTAAGAGCAAATCAAATGCATTTGCTGAACCCCAGAGAAAGAAGGCGGRCAAGGCGCTTTAACAAGTGTCTGTCACGACGACGAATCAAGGTGGAGCATGTATTTAAGAAATAAAAGTGTACAAAGCCATATCACAGTTATGGAGACATCCTAGATGGCTTCTTCCAGTATGTGTGGAGCTTGCGTCATTTCTTGCTGAACGTCGAGTACGYTTATTTGAACATTTATAACAAACTAAAAAGGATTTCTGTGTACAGCAAATTTCCATGCTAGCTTAGTCCACTCATTTGCATTTTTTCAGATACAAACGTTGATGTTGAATAAAAAACAAAGTCTTGTAACACTTGTTGAGTTTTTAATAAATTTAGAACGTTGAGTTCGTTTACGTTCCTGGAAATTATGACAAGTTTACAGAAAGTGCAATAAGACTAGCATTTTAAGGTTAAAACTTCTTCACGCAGATTATTTCGGTATAATTTAGCTGGCAGTACGGTAGGTAGATCATTAGCATATTAGCAAACTCATTAGAATTTTTAACCCCGGTTGTTGGAAAACGTTCTACTAACTACCACTACATCAATATTCTATATGCATACAATTCTCATCTTACATGTTGATTTTTGCGTAGGGAGTAAAACCGGAGAAGACGGAGAAAAATCCTTGTGGCAGAACAACAGAACAAATAAACTCTATTCACATGGCGTGTACAGGATTTCAACTCCACGATCCGACCCGTGACTCACAGTGGTGAAAGGCCAATAATCAGGATTCCTAGCTATTCCTTGCAGATTTTACGCGTTTTGTCAGACAAATTTGTCAAAATGATGAAACCGCTTAACATTTTCTGGGATGCACGTAATCGCCTCTAAACGCTGTGCATGGGTTTGATCCCCTGACTTACCATGATCATAGTGCAGTTTTCGTATGACCGTGAAAAGCTCAGTGCCGTGACCGTGATGGTTTCTAAAATTTTGATTGGCTGATTTTTTTTTTCTCGCGCGATGTGATTGATCTGACAGTGCCTTGACCTTGGTGTGACCGTGTCTGCGCTGGTTTTATGCCTTGTTCCGGGTATTTGATTGGATGGAGAGTAAATTTTCGAGCAGTGTGATTGGTATGGCATAACCCTTGCCGTGTCACGACCGTGTTTGTGCCATGAGGTTTTCACAGTCATACGAAAACTGCTCTATTTGAATAGAGTTGTTCATTGGTTGTCTTTGATGGTTTTCACTGTCTTCTCTAGTTTTCCTCCCTTCGCATAAATCCAAAATTCCACTCCAATTCAACCCAGGAACTTATTTTCGCTGCAGAACTGCAGTGTTAACCTCACCAAAAAGGCTTATCTTAATAAAGGTTTTTTCAAGTGAACTTACAATCTCGCATTCTCAGCTAACACAAGAATCCTCTCGTCGTCAAACTGCCTTAGACCACCAGCTACTAACAGCTCTAGTATAGCCTGCGATACGAAGAAAATAGGACACCATTAACAATATGGAGGATCATCTCACGCTTTAACATTATCAGTTTATCAGAAAAAAAGAGTAATTTCGGTCCTGGAATAATCTATGGTTTTTTATAGCGATACCTCAGCGGACTCCTTATTAAGCGGACACCTTTTATCAAACGGACACTCTTCATTAAACGGACAGCTAGTTGCACAGACCCTAAATTTTCATCCAATAATTACTGTAAAACAAACCTCTATCCAGTGGATACGCCTATTAAGTGGGCACCCACCAGGCAAGGCCCTGAAGGTGTCGTTTAATACAGGTACCGATGTCCTGGTTTTTTAGTCAAGTAGCTAAGAGGTCACTCACCTGTTGTCGCTCTTCGTGTCTGGCGTCATCATCAGGGTTTGCTAGATACTCCAACACCTTAAAATGAAAAATCACGATCAGAAAAGGTTAGTCAATACTGAAAAGGAACGAATAATTCATTTACTTCAAATTTCATCAAATCTTAAACAAACTCTGAGCTGATCAAAGTCAGGGCACGGATACGGATCTAAAATGGAGAAAACACGACCCTCAAGCAAGGGCGGATCTAGAGGGGGGCAACGGGGCCTAAAGCTCCCCTTCAGCAGAAAARAAAMAAAAAAACTGAAGAATTAGATGTTTTTTTATTGTTTTCCGTTGTGTTGACGTAAGAAAATCAATTAGCCCCCCTAAACTCCCTAAAATTTTGGCTGAATCCGCCCTTGCCAAGCTAAAGAGGTTTACTGTGTAACCTTCAGTGGGCATAGGTTCTAATGTCTTCAATAAATAAGGAATAAAATATATTAGTCAAACTCGACTAGCGGTCTAATATCAATATTAATGCTGCGTTCTGATTGGATGAGCTACTACTAGGCTATAAGTTATATCCTACTAGTAGCGAAAAGTCCAGGCTCTGAAAACCAAAACATTAAATTTAACTTTAATTCTAAACTTGATTGCATCTATATATTTGTTTGACTAGTTGGATTTGACTAARRCAATATTTTTATTAGTCCTCTCACCCTCATGGCCTATGAGTCAATAGCCCATTTGGCCTTCGACCTAATGGTTTTGCGATTATTATCTACATCAAAGGCTATTTAGCAATTAGTCCTCAAGCACGAATGGTCTATGAATCAATAGCGCATGTGGTCGAAGTTAAATTCATTTTTTTGCTTTCAAAGCCGGCACTTTTCGCTACTAGTAGGCTATAACTTATACCCTAGTAGTAGCTCTTTCAATCAGAATGCAGCAATACTGATAGGCCACTAGTTGGATTTGACTAAAACCACTCATTACCTGTTCAAACAACACCTTGTTAACATGGATGGTGTTCTCGTGTTTGGCCATCTGACGAGCCAAGAATGTAAACAGACTTCCTACTTGGCTGGGCTGATAAAAGAAATGTGAAAAAAAGTTAGGACGTGCCACTTGGCTGGGCTGATAAAAGAAATGTGAAAAAAAGTTAGGACGTGCCATGTTACTGTGCCATGTGGAAAGGACCACCATCTTAGATATATAATGACGGGCCATGGGCCTTTTCCGGGTTCGATGAACAGGATGCATTGTGGTCTAGATTCGGTACAAAAAATACCATATAAGGCATGATGAACAAAAGATGGTTGTACCGAAGCTAGACCACAACGCAACTATGTTCGCCATCTCAGTAAAGATCTATAGTAGATACGAATGAGCCAGTAACCCCTCCCCTCCCTTCCTTCCTCCCTCCCTCCCTACGGAATGATTTTACTTCCATCCTGTATAATTTTGAGTGATAAAATGTACGTCATGGTGGAAGGTGAAAATCATTCTTAATGACAAAAGTAAGGCACAACGTTACAGAATAGGCTCTAAAAGAATGTGATCTTTGCGAGGGGGAAAAACAGATAACCACCAAGCTCACGAGAGAACCAACAAACATTACTCAACTYATATATGACAGCCAGTGGAAGCATTTGAGTATTGAGCCCATGAGAACAGTGGTGAAAGGCTATATAGTATATATTAGTTATTCTTCGCTTGCACGTTAAGTCATCGCGGCCATGTTGGTACCATTTAACAAAAGATTTCTAATTAGCGTCCATTGTTAACATCACCAAGATGGCCGCCATGTTTTTGTCTTTTTACTCTCTTGGGTACAACCCATCAATTGTGCTACTTACAGAAAATCCAGTATCTTGTACCATAATCTGTAGTAATATATTGACCACATATTGCCGTCCAGATGTATTGTCTTCTCCTCTGTACAACAGTACAATGATAAAAAAAACATAAGTAAAAACCAACCACCATTTTCTTCCCACCTACCCTCCATCGTAAAATCACTGTCGGGTAGATTCAAAATATAAAACATAGAAGCTGAGAGCGAAAGGAAATGCCAGCCACAATGGCCGATTTGATCAAGTGACCTCTTAGTGCAAGTCGCCTATTAACCTCTGATGTGTTCATTTGAGATACAATCGATATAAAACGTGTTAAAAGCCTCCATGTTTTTTTTAGTACAAGTTAATTGTATCATTAGATACATCTAATAACGTACTTCCCATGTACCATTTCGGTCTCAGTTTTACTCAGTTTTTACTGTGTTCTAATTTTTCGATTCCGACAATGATATTGCAATTGACTTTATACAGAAATCACCCTCTCTAGTTAATAACGAGGTTCATCTATCTACCTCCCCCCCCCACCCCCCAAAAGTTAGAACATGGCGAAAGAACAATGACAACCCCTTTAGCACTTTAATCTACTTCCTCCAAGATGGCGGTTATGATCAGTAGAGCGTGTTAGAACTGTTACTAAACGTTTTCAAATCCACTTCGTCACTCACCGGAAATCATTGTCGAATTCTTTCTCCTCGAATGCCTAAAAAGAAAATGAATGGTCAAGGTGTTACTAAAAACGATTATTTAGTTGTCTTCAGTTGATAGCTGGCTACTAATATGGCTAAGGTCAAGCGTCAAATGTGCGTTGGGAACAATTAATAATAGGGCAGTCTTCTTCTTTGTCATTAGGTTCGGCTCATATAAAGTTCGGCGTTTGACCTTTATAGTCTAAGCTTTTTTTCATTTTGGCCGTGTCTCTCACTTCTGGATTCGAGCGAGAAGTAACAACCGCGTTTATTTATCAATTGACACGGTTTTCTTTGTTATTCACAAGGCTTTATTTTTGTTATAACCCTTATTATAAATGCGAGGAAAATACTTAATTACCTCGAACGTCGGCAGAAAGCTTATACATCCCTTAGGACTGCGGCTCTTGGGATGTATATGGCTTATTGCCTCAGCTCTCGGTAATAACTCTTTGGCTCAGGTCAAACGTCGAACTTCACGAGCCGAACCTAATGACATCAAACTGAGAAGACCGCCTTGTTATCCACTGTTTCAATTAGGTTCGGCTCATGTAAAGTTCGACGTTTGACCTGAGCCTTGCTTCCAAACCCCTTCCTTCRAAATGCAATCCTGACTTCCTGGATCCCAGTTGCATAAAATTCTCTTAAGATAAGAACACCCTTAAGTATTATCTTAGTACAATGGTTCATTGTTTTAGAATGGACCAAATCCACTTGGGTGTAATGTTGTGCCCATTTTAGACCACGTCACTCTCTTGAGTATAAGATTCTTTGTTTGAGTTGCATGTGTCTTCTCAAGCGCAACCGTTAAACAAAGAAATGATACTCTAGGGGATGACATGTGGTCTGAAATGGGAAAACAGTGGATTAGGTCTGTACTTAGGGCTGCTCCTAATTTAGGAGAGCTTTATGCCATAGTGCTTATAGTGCGACGCGCCTAACCGTGGCCCCCCAACTTATTTTTTTATCAATGCCGTAGAATCCTTTCCCGCCAAGTGTTTTCATTCATTTAGAAGACTTTTTGAAAAAAGAGTCCAGTGTTGGCCAACAAAGGGACCAAAATAGGTATCACCTAGGCAAATTCCTAGCCATTTATTTAAGTTTTTGTTGCAAAAAGTAAGAAATAACTTTGAAGTCACAATTCGCGATTTCACGTGCAAATGCAAAAATTCTAGCCGTCTGGTTGGCTAACTAGTAAAAAATAAGTTAGGTGGCCACGTTTAGGCGCGATGCACTGTAAGGTTTCTATCAATGTTACGGTTGTAATATTAAAGTGATAAAAGGTATTTTCCCTTACAATGGACAGAACGTTCAAAAACTCTTGCGTATCAAACTCTAGTAGTATCCTCAGATATGGATAAGAACGCTCAGCTGAAATAAAGGATTCAAAAAACAATATAACATGCTTTCAGTTCGACCCTGTTGAGCTGCACCACTGCTGTACTTTGCGGTGGCGATAAGTGATGACAAGTTTTTTTWATTATTATTATAAAATAAGTAAGTAACGAATATAGCGATCATGGATCAATACAACCGCCTCCCAGTTGGATAAGTTGGTCGAGCATCGGTCTGTTGTGCCAGAGTTCATTGGCTCAGTAGCCCCTAGAACACTATACATGTGTTCCAGTAAAAACCTGTGGAATGGACCCTTCTCAAAAGTATCGTGGATGCAAAGCTAAAATGAAAATACAAATGAAATCACACTTTTCTCGGTGGAATTCGTAGCACTTCCTTTGTATTTGCATTTTAGCTTCGTACTCAAGACAATCTTCAGAAGGCTAATTTTCCAAGTGTTTTTACTGTTGAAGTCGTGCATTCATTACTCTAACATTTGTAGGTGTGAATATTCTGATACTGAAATGTTGCTAACACGCAATAAATGAGTCTGTAATCAAAAAACACAGCAGTATTTCGTATACAGATTGTGAATTCCTATAAACGTTTTCTGTAGACAAACGACTTACTTTCAAACGCATCCCTTGTGTGAACTGCTGTTATACAGTTAAAGACCTGTTATACAGTTAAAGAGTTTGAATATTGCATTCAATCAACACTCTGCCCAGAGGCAAAAGAGACGACAGCTAGCGGAAGAATAGCGGGAAGAGAAGAAGGGGAAAAGCAAGACACGAAGCAAGCAAGAAAGTCTTACAAGCTTAATTTAAAAAATAACACGTCTCAGTAACGTTAAGTGGAAACGTAATGTCTAATTAGCCATTCCGAGGTTGAGGGGGAAAAAATGTCGATTTAGCACTGCAGTGCATTTTGGGGACGAAATAGCCGCCATCTTGGAAAGATGTCCCTAAAACAGCCCCACAATGCACTGCAATGCCAACTCGACCCAGTTTTCCCTCGACCTCGGAATTGCTACTACAGCACATACACGGTACGACTTTCGAGACGTGATATTAAAATACCCCTTCCATTTTCGTGCGAATTGCCCAGGCAATCACAGCGCGTAGTCACGACTACGGATACGGTATGATACGGTACGCCTATGCACAGTACGACCGCGAATTTGCAGTACAGCAGTTTTCGTATGAGTGGGAAAAGATACGGCAAATTCATAGCCATACTGTAGCTCTACCGTTACTTACTGTAGCCGTAACTACATGTTGTGAATGAATGAACTAGTGTAAGACAATGGGAAGCAATTTCAATTTTACGGCCAATAGTACCGGGTATGCTTCCGCTTAAACGAGAACAACTCTATCGCCGGCTTTCCCAATCCAAAGGATCCCCGAACAATAGAAAAGAATTACCTGTGTTTTGACAAGCGTGACAATATCTTCAGGAATCTCGCCTAATGGATATGATCTCCCCGCTAAGCTACAGCTTATGTACACCAACATCTTGTACCCTAACGCTTGATCCAGTTCTGACGGACAACGAATGCAGCAAATTACTCAGTGCTTTATGTTTGTAAAAAATGTATGATGAATCTGGGATGGAATAAGTACCTGATAATTGTTTTCCCGAGTTAAGAGCACTGCGAAGAACACCAAGCAGCTCCTGTTTGGGGTGTGAGAAGACATTAAATATAAACATTGAAGGRACGACTTCTTTGTAGAGAAACGGGGGAAAAGAGTGATAGGAAGTAACAGAAAGGATGATAGAAAGAAAGAAAGAAGGGATAGGAAGGAAGGAAGGAAGGA